TTATAATTGTTCAAAGCACAATATTAAAATTACAAAAAAAGATATTATTATTAAAGAAACATCATTAGTTATGTTAGGAAATCATCTCAAAATACTTAATTCAAAACAATATTAAATTATATTTTCTTGGGTAATATTTAAAATGTAAAGCATAATAAAACAATATTAAAAGAAAAGCTGTTTCAAATTTAATAAATTTAATGTAAATATTTTTTTCTGCATATATTTTTAGTCACACATATGTAGTGTAACGTGAGACCCGCCTCCAATTTTTTACACTGTACCCAACAAAGTGAACATGTCACAAAGAAATTTCTGGTTCAAAAAAAAAATTAGTAATTTACTATTATATTCCTTAAGCATAAACCACAAATAATCATTCAATAATCATTGGCTAAACGATTTAATAAAATATTTACTTTTGCGGGTTGTTAATTGGGCTTGTCCTTGACCTTTTACTTCATCATAAAAACAAACTATATAACATAAATCAAAAAATTGATGAATAATTAATAAAATAGGGTCGAAAAAAATTAAACAAAATTACTAGCAATATATTTAGATTTTAATATTGATATGTTCCCAACACCTACATTCCGTTAAAAAAAAATCAATTCTTTTATTATGATTTGTGCACTGAATTACGGCAATTCGGAATTGCATAAATAAATTCAGCGTGGCACTCTAAAGTCGTAATTATTTACGTCCTATTACTATAGATATTAATATTGCATTCCTAATTTTTTTTAATAATAATCAGAATTTGGCGCAAAATTTTACAGATCACTAATTAAAATTTTCTGGACTTCAATTTTCACCCCAACGTAACCACCCTTTATGTTGACATAAACTAAAATTGTACTTTTAACACATGATATGAATCTCGAAGTTTAAATATACAATTTTCAAAGGGACTTTCTTATAAAATGTTTTATGTTTATATGTAGGAATCGCTGGATTTCTGCCTAAAATTACTATATAAAATTTAAAGGTTTCGAGTAAGCAACTAAAAATATTTATGATGTAAAAATGGTTGTAGAATTAATTTTATCCGAGAAAAATATAAATATGATATTTCTATTTAGTTTTTGATAGTTACTCTTTTTAAAATAAAATAAAAATTATCGTGGTCATGTAATTTTCTTGACTCACGTTGGTCACGTGAGGTAATGTCAGATTCTGAAAATTATAATGTTTGCAGTTTTTTCACGGATTACGAATTAATGTCATTAATAGGGTTTCTATTTGGATATGTTTGTTCATTATGAATTTGAGCATGCAAAGTCAATTGGATTTTATGAAATGCGATAATAATAAAAGAATAGTTTTAATTTTTAAAAAAGAAGAGGCATTTTTATTTTGAAGAAATATACATACGGAGAAAATAAGTATTTGATTGAATAAAGTTTTAATTCAGGTTATAACATTTGTAAACTTCCCATGATAATTATTCTTCTTGCATCATTGCAATATACATACAATGACATAATAATTCTTTATTCATCCCGGGCACTCAATTTGGAACTTTTGATAATCCTATTTTATCATTATCATTATTGCTGTGTTTTTATTTGTATCAAGCGTTTTACTTACGCCAAGTGTTTTTAATTACGTCAAGTGGTTTTACTTACGCCAAGGGATTTTACTTTAGTCAAATCGTCAAAATGGCCCTGGTGAGAAATTACCTTTAGTCAATACTTTAGCTACTAAAGTCAAAAGTTTCGTCATACATCATTAGTATAATTATTAGTGTCACATATCAAATACTGTGCTTTTAAATGTTAATGTTCAATGGACTAACAGATAACACAGACCCAATTGAACATTTGACAATGAGGCGGGTTCCACTTATTATTTACAAGGTTTTCTTTTATGATATTTGATGTGTAATCTTTTATATAATATACAAACAATACGAAAAGAAACAAGAATTTAATTACGATTCGTTGAAACTGTACGGCATGATGGAGTAACACGGGTAAGGAAGGCACTACGAAATTCAGGTATACGCTCTAACCAAATTTGCAAGAATAAAATAAAATAATATGGAATATCTTTCCTAAAAAATTTTCTAATCGGTGAACCAATCCGCTCGGAGCTTTAACCCTATGTATCATCTAGGAAATTATGGAATAGAAGGCATCAGGCATCATTGGTGACACTTTAACACTTTGAACTATGAGGTTATTTTTTGTGGTTATGTTCACTTTGTCTAGCTTTGTTGCATAATTATGAATTTTCATCAAACTGGTTTAACTATACCAAATTAAGTGGTCAATGAATTACTACCAATTTAAAAAATCAACATATAATTAAAATCAATATTGTAAAGTTAATTCCTATATCGGATATTGAGATCATCATCGGACATATCCGATGTTAGCCAATCAATAAAAGGTTTGAATTCAATATGTGCGAGTAGTTTTACTATGAATGAAATCGATTTGTTATTTTATATTTCATTTATATTTATGTGTTATTATGGGAAAACCTTAATTTACAATATCCTATAAATCTTGTTATCCAATTCGTCCATTCATTTGATTCATATCGTGGAATTGAAGGGATTCCATCCAACGAATATTTCCAATTCATTCAATTATCATTAATATGACGATTTATTTATTTATTGGGTAATGTATAGCTGTTGTTGTTGGTTTGTTAATTCCCAGTTTTATACATCTAATGGTGATAAAATAATAACAAAGCATGTGGCTGCAGTTTACTAACGTCGTGTAGCTGTAAAAATAATAATAAAACAATTATTTATTTATTTATTTGTTTATTTATTACCATAAAGCAGACTAATACTAATCTAAAATTCATCAACTCTGTATTTGTCGAGAGAAAACAAAATGTCATTGAAGCGATACACTCTAACTGCGTGATCCGATCTAATTGTCGTCAAGTAATTTTGAAGAACCAAGATTAAAGATTTCTTTGTTAACTATGATTTTTTTAATCTCGTTAACGACGATAGCTTGAACTTGGTGAGTTGGAATTGGAATAAATGCAATAAATACCATGAATATTTCCGACAAACAAATCGTCATCCTAAATCGTAATAGGTGGTAATAATAAAGTATCGGAACTTGGTTTAAGTAAAACTTATCAAAACAAATAAAAATTATATCGATGAGAAATTCGAATTATTTTATAATTATATTAAATAAAATGCGGAAGTAGAGAGTTTAGAAACCCATTCTCCGTCATAATAATCACAGAGCAAATATATATTTGATGTATTTTTCTAAAAATAGATGCTTAATCAATTTATTTATTTCTATATAAAATAAAGAACCTAAGGCAAGATGTAAGAATAAGACTAAGAATATAAGGCAAGATTGGGAGCATCAAATAATAATATTGTTATTATAATTATTATTAATAACAATAATAATAATAATAACAATGTATAAAAATAATTTATTAACGAATAATTTTAAGATTTATGCAAAAAAATTTTTTATAAATTTATTACTTACATATGTAAATCTCGATAATAATACAAAAATTACATAACGACTCGCCCATTACATTCAACTTTTTATGTCGATGATTTAATTGATGATCAAGGAAGTTAAATTAATTTTAATTGTAAAACCATGTATATTAAATATATAAATAAATAAATAAATAAAAAAATAAAAAGTAATTTTCATCGACCTACAGTAAAATTTCGTTATCTTTATTTTCTATCTCTAAATTTAAATTTCTATTTCTATTCCAACTTTCTATTATTCCCAAAAATCATTTGGAGAGAGAAAGCATTCAAAATGAGAAAAAAATTCAACTTCTTTTTTTTTATTTTGAAGATATAAGCGATGGTTGCATGTAACACATAAATTATCTTTTTTTTGTTAATAAGGAAAAAATTAATTTAAAAAGATACAAACAAAACTCCATGCGTGCCGCAAATATATACTATAGATAAATAAATATATATATATACGCACATTCATAATTCAATTAATTTTCAATTTTCAATTTTTAATTTTTCCTAATACCTATACAACATTATCTCTCTCTCTCTTTTCTCACCTTATCTCACCTCCTTTCCTCCTTCTTTATTTCCTTCCCTCCTTCCCTTCTCTTTCATAATAATACTTGGTTCCTTACAAAGCAAATAGGTATTCTTTTATTCTCTCTCTCTCTCTCTCTCTTCCTTCCCTCTTCCCTCCCTCATAATTACAATAATATCATCTATAATTTATATACATATACTTGCACACTTACACACACACAACACATACATACATATATTTTGACCAATATAACTAAATAATAAAAATTAATTATATAATCATGGCTTCGACCTTATCTTCTTCTTCCAATTATTCTTCTCCCCGTACATCTTCAACCACTATTCTCGTATTATTATTATTATTATCATTAATTAACGTTATTAATAATGTCAACGCTGCAGAGGTTGTTATAAGTGTAGCCGAAAAGGGATTGTCTTTTAGCCCACAAAATGTTACTGTCGCAAAAGGTGATACTGTAAGTATTATTATCAAAAGCTGTTGTTCGTCGAGTTTGCTATAAATAAATTTCTAATTTAAAAAAAAATTTTTTTTTTTTTGAAAGGTTAAATTCAAAATATTTAAAAGTATGCATGTAATCGATGAATCCGATGCACCCGGTCAATGTATTAAATCAACGAAAATTACAAAGCCACGTAAGTTTGCTTATTTAATTATTGATTTTTTTTAAAAACCTAATTTCATTTCACTAAAAATATTTTCTTCTCCATCATAAATCTTTATCGTTTAATAGTAAGTTTGATTGCAAATGTGCCTGATACAACATTAACTTATGAAATTACTAGAGATAATGGATCGATTTACTATTTTGATAGTTATGCTCAACATTGTTTAAACGGTATGTGGGGTATTATTACTATCGGCGATGCCAACAAAAACAATCCTAATAGTGATCCAACAAAGGCATCGACAACAGCAACCTCACCATCACCAAGTGAAACCTCAGCCAATAATACGAGTAGTTCATTCAATAAGAATAACCTTGTTGTACCGATTATACTTGCATGTATTGTTGCTGCCGGAATAGCACTTGTAATTCTTTTTTGTTTCTTAAGGAGAAGAGGAACCACTGGAAAAAAATACTAGATTTTTAATGATAAAATTATTTAATTTTTACATGTATATTTATTAATTCACAACATAATTTAATAATAGTTTTTTAACAACTACAGAGAGAATTAGAATGAATATAATATAATAATTATAAATAAAAAAGATTATATTATATATTAATACTATGAACATAAAATCGAAGAAATTGAAAGAACGATAACTGATCAGAATCTTGATAATGACTCAAATTTATATCAACGTCTACCTACCTATCTACCTTCAACAAGGTAAGTTGAACGTATTTGAATATTTACAACCACATAATTGATAATAATTAATAATAACGATAAAAATGTATACCAATTCCTGTATTATATAATAAATTTAAAATTGTAAGTAAAATGTAAAATGTATTCACGCAAAACGATTTTCAAACGATTTTTCCCGAAATCTTCTAATCTTGGTGTTAAAGATTACCGCATTTGGAAACTAATTATCTCTCGTGTCCACACTATTTATTTGATTTTTTGCCGTTTCTCTAAACTTTAGTATTAGTAAACAACAATCCACATAAAGCTATAGCTTACAATGTTTTCCGTCTTTTCAACCACTCTTCAAATTATAAAGATAAAAATCTTAGTTTGAAGTGAAAAGTAATGCTGATTTTGAACAACCATAGCTTCACATAGAGTGCCTCTATCAACACGAGATGTGATTCATTGGAAAGCTATATAATGGCCCAGTTTTATTTTTTGGATATTTTTAAAAAACGATTGATTGATTACACATATCAGAATTTCTGTTTACATATTAATATTAATATAATAATTAATTAAAAAAAAGTGAGTTTGTTATTATTAATAATTTATATATATCCATCAATTAAGTAAAATATATATTTTATAGACTTGTATATATTCAACAAATAAAAATGTATTTATTGTTTTAAAACATAATGAAAACCAGTTTTTGCATCTTGTGATATGTGTGTTGAGACGAACCCCAAATCTCAGGTGGGCTAAATAAAAAAATTTTTTTTTTCGCATTAATATACTGATAGTTTTGTTGAACGCCTGCAATAGAGTAAGGTTTGCCGAAAGTCAGAAATGATGAGTCACCGTGTGGTGGTGGCTGATTTTACGAAAAGAACGGCCCAATTTTAATATTAATCTGGGGCATAGCTCATGCCATTTCTCTGACAATGCACATAAAGCTATACCCATATGAAGAAGGCTTATAATATTTTACATCTTCTCAACATAAAGGTAATGTTGGAGGAAAATCTTGGTTTTGAGGTGAAAAGTAATGCTATTTTTGAAATAACTTTACATAGAGAACCTCTATCAATATGAGAGAGAGGATTCTGGCTATAACGGCGGCACAGTAGATATTAATATGATGATGTTATAAAAATAAAAAAATCCGATTGGCTGTACGAATCTGAATTTCTCACATGGGCGGGCATACTACTGTACTAATACTGCAACAAAAAGCATGGTGGAAAATTTATTTTTGTGTAACATAATAATTTATATTGTTTCATATACTAAATCTGGATCAGAAGGATAGCAATTTTTAGCCATGTGGGAATTCGTAATTTCAACAGTTATGAAGTAACAATAATGAAAACAGTAATAATAATAATAAAAACTATACAGGAATTTGCATTGTATGCAATAAATCATATAGAACAAAAAGCAGTTTAGCCAAATATGAAGCACAATCATTTTGATTATCAAGAATATCCTTTAAATGATCCTCTTCTTTCCAAATAAATAGAATTTAATTTTAATATTAAAAAAAATTGTCTTTACATTATAAAAAGTTTGGGGGAAAAAATCATTTATTGTTTCATATAGTGGGATATGACTATTACTTCATTTGATTCATTATGAAACATTAATACAATATTATACTGTATATGGATGTCAAAAGAATTTCAAAAGGTAGTATCAGTTAGTTGTTCTATAATAATTGTTAATAATTTTGTATAATATATGGGACCTTTTCTAGCAAAAACGGTCTTCCATAAAAATAGATTTTTTTTGGGTAAATCACAAATTAAAATTGTT